TTACTGCAAATTAGGTGGGTTTAAAGGGGTGAAGCTGCTTTATGCACTAAATAAGTTATTTCTGATTCGCCTTTGATGAAGACATAAAATTATTGACTTTACCTTCTGGGCTGTAGTGTCCCGTCCTGATTGTGTGAAAGTTTTTCATGTTTTTACCGTCTGATCAAACCTTCCTGACATGCATGAACCTCCACAGGATCTCTGATGGGAACGAGTATCTCTTCCAAGCCAAAGACGACGTGAGTAAATAAAATGCATCATTTCCTGTTTGATTTCTCTGAGCTTACTTAAAAATGTTAATTCTTTCAGAAGAAGTTTTGTTTGGTGTCCTGATTATGTATACGTCTATATATGATATATGAGAGTCATGGTTACTTGTTGATGGCAAAGCTGCAGTTCTATTAGTTTATAAAGTGAAGGTGTTAAATAGCAGATTTCTTTGCTCCCAGAGACGACGGACGGATCGCTTTAGTTTGACGTAAAACAATGTTAATAAATCCTGAGTGCATTTCCCTCTTCGCCCTCTAGGAGGAGATGAACTCCTGGATCTCAGCCATCTCTGCCGCCGTGGCGGGGGTCAAATCGGAGGTGACGCCCAGCGGCCACAGCACGCCGGCCCCCGCGGCTCGCGCTCAGACGCTGCCGGCGACGGTGGCGGCGACGGCGGCGGAGTCGAGTCCTGGCAAACGGGAGAAAGACAAGGAGAAACGCTTCAGCCTCTTCAGCAAGAAGAAATAGAGGCTCCTTCCTCTCTTTCCTCCCTCCTCCTGCGGTGCTGTTTGGGATCACTCCTCATTATCATTAATCGAATCGTGGATGACAGTTCTGCTCGTAGCAGATCTGTTTCATCCTTCCTGATAACCTTAAAGAATAACAGTCTTTCCTAACATTTGCCTGCTCCTCCAGCTTTCTGCCTCAGATCTGATCCCAAACAGCTCCTTTTCCTCCTCTTTTTTTTGTTTTGTTCCTCCTCTTCCTCTCAAAGCGTGACTCCAGCATGCCAGCTCCGAGCCAAAACTCTCCACTCTGTGCCTCTCAACCGTCCGGTCGGCTCAGAGCTCCAGTTCAGCTCCAAACCCCCCGCCTGCGCTCCGGCGTCGGACCCGGAGCGGGGACCCTTTGGAAGGAGGGACAGAACCACCGATAAACGCTTCAGGCAGCTGCTGTCCCAACGATCCATCGCCATGTGGAGGAACTCCCAGTTTGTTTAACTTACTGCTGTTTCTTGTTGTTCAGCTTTTTTTCTGCCTTCTGTGGGTCGTGTCGACGCTCCCCGGTTTTCCCTGGAAGTTGTAGGTAGCCTAATCCCTTTTTTTGCGAGGCCTTGTCTTTGCAAGGTGCCGTGTATCCCTGTGTAGTGGGGAAACCGAGAGCAGGGCGGGGTACGGCTCCGGTTCCGACTTTCTGCCGGTCGGGTTTGTGCAAAAAAAGCAGCAGCTTGGGTGCAGTCTAATACCTGGAGCGTTACCCCTCCCTGCTCCCAACTGTATGTATAACTTGTGTATAACAAACTGTTTAAAATAAACCTGTGTTTAATTTCTTCACTTATTCGTACTAATGATATGACCAACCGTGATAAGCTTCAGTGGTTTCAACTTTCTTTATGTGGAAACATAAACCCAGAATGAAGGACCGTGGAGGTGACCTCACCCATTATGGAAGAAAAACTCTCATTAGAATCGCTCTTGTTTTGTACAACGAATTTTAAGCAATTCATTTTTTTTAAAACAGTATTTTAAACACTGAATTTTTTTTTACACATCAAGTTCCTTCCACTGATTTTGTATCTGGCGAAAATTCCCCTTCAAAAATTATTTAATTGCAAAAAATTTGCCTGCAAAAGATTTAAATGCAAAAAAAATTCAGCTGCAAAAAAGTGAATTTGAATTTTTTTGCAGGCAAATCTTTACCTGATACAAATTCAGTGTGTAAAAAAATTCAGTGTCTAAAATTCTTTGTTATAATTCAGTGTTTAAAATATGCTGCACTAAAAAAGGCCGTTTTTCTTCCATAGACGAGGAACTCAGCAGGAATGTTTTAACAAGTTTTCCAACAATCCGTGAGCTTTCTTTCCCACCTTCTTTAGATTTCTTAAACATTAACATCTGCCCTTTATTACCTGGATTATGTTAAGTTTTGTGTTTCCGCAGCGAAGGTTTATTTAGTGGGAAGTAAGGAGGCGTAGTTGTTCTATAAAAGCAAAACTTTCTGTTAAGTGGGTTAATAAGCAGTAAATATCTGGAAGTGAATTTCGGTCGCTTGCTTGTCGGCTTCAGCTCTTTGTTGTTAAAAGATTTCCGACTTTTTTGCCGCTGATGAACTTTGCAGTGAAACCTGTTAGAGCTACGTGTGTGGATGCTTTGTACGGAAGCTCCTTGATGACAAAACTTCCTGAAAACTGACTTGAGATGAAAAATTAACGGTAAAAACTCAGAAGATAAAAAAAGGCTGTTTTTTTTTTCCTGCAGCTCTGCATCAGTCCGCAAAAAAATTAGACCAAATTCATCACGATGCAATGTAGAAGAAAGTTCTTTATCTTCTAGAAATTATTGAGAAAACATTTTTTGATTAAATTTCTTTGATTGACATTAGGTAAATAGTTTTCAGTAAACGGATATTTTGTTAAAAGAAGAGGAACCTCTTAAACATGTTTATGAAATCATTAAGTTTTAACTCAAACCTTTTTTGGACAGATGGTAGGAAGATATTTTTTCTGTGAAAAAGACTCAGATTGTAATGAAACCATCTGGAGCAGGCCTCCAGCCTCCAGGGGGCGCTTCAGAAAGCAGCTGAAGACAGGTTGGATTAGAAAACATCTGTGTTCACCTTATTTGATCGTTTCTAAAATAAATAAAAAATAAAAAAATAGCTTTTTTATAGTTGGAAAATAAAAACTGTCAGATTCTGAGTTTTTACCTAAATTCAGCTCCGGGTTCCTGGAATTGTGTCATTAACGGGCTTCCATAGAGCCGGAGTGATGTTGGTGTAAAGCAGCAGGATTGAACCCGAACATGTGAAGGTAGATCATCAAATGTGGGACTTTGATTTTTTTTTTTTCTTCCCACAGCTGATGGAGGAAACCCGACTCTTTCACCTCAAATACCTGGAAAACTCTTCACCTTGGGGGGGGGGGCTGCTTCATTTTTTTATTATTATTATTCTTTTGTGCTACGATCTATGGCAGTTTGATAAATATAGTGTGCATTCCTCTGTCACTGTAACCATAGTAACGAGACATTTCCTCATTCTGCACAATCAATAACACCTGGTTTGGGGGTAGGTGGGTAGGTGGGTGGGGTGGGCCTCAGGCCTGGGGGGGGTCTAGGTTAGGTGGTCGGTGTGATGCGGACCGGGGGTCACTGCTAGTTGGATCTGCACCCGTAGATTTCTCCCCATCTCTGTTACATATGTGCAAAAAAAAGCCATTAAAAAGCTTTTAAAACAAAATGTCTTGTTTCTGTTTGGTTCATCTTCGACTCACAGATTTCTCAGAAAGGTGCTGAAAATATTGAGCTTCTCTGGTTCTTTGTGATCAAAGAAAAGAAGCAAAAACTGCTCTGTTCACGTTGGTGCGGCTGCATCTAAATGAAGCACAAGACTTTAGGCTGAAACGTGTTTGACACCAATGAGGGGAAAGTATAACGATCGGACATAATCCTCCATTAAATCACCACAAAATCCTTATACATGCTTTTTGGCATGGGGGAGAGGAGTGATGATGCGGGACTCAATTCACCTGCATCCTTTGAACGAACAATGACCTCTCTAGAACAAAGTGTTCTAGATTGGTTTAAAAGTCCAACTGTTCAGTCGCTGAAGCTTAGTAGAAACCAGCAGAACGATGATTGAAAACACAGCAGCAGATCTGCAACCGAGGGATGAAAAGATGTCCTGATGGTCTAGTCAAAGTAAAAACCTCTACCTGAATGAGACGCTCTGTAGGGAAGAGAAACAAGCTGAAGGAATGGCTGAGATAAGCAGATCTACAAGAAAAAGATTCATTTCATTAGCTTTTTTTCCTAATGTAATGATTATATCTATGCTATAATCTTTAAATGTCTGAATTTAATTAAAAACAATTTTAGTCTTTTATTTATGTATCTTAGTTTGTATGTTTTCCCTACAGGAAAACTGTCTAATTTGATTGATCAGATGCTTTAATCCTAATCCGAACCCCGGGGGAAATATTAACTCTATCAAAATAATATGGAAATATGATTATATAAATATATTCACTGTGAAATCTGCAAGTTTTAGTTACCAAAATATAATTATCTAAATGCAAACGAAATGTTTGAGCATTCTCTGTTTAATGCTCACAGGACTTTTTAAATGAATCCTTTTGTTTGTTTTTCATTTTTAAGAGCACACGAATCATCAAATTAACTGAAACTGGGAATCACATCCTTTTGTTTAGAACCTGACAAAGAAACTGCTGTATCATTGTACAAAGTGTGGTTAAAAGTTGCTTTTTAAATTAACATTAAAACGTTTTTAAAGTCTTATTCTGTAGAGAAGATCTATTGTCCAGCCTGTCGTGTTCAGCACTGTGGACAGCTCCTGCTGATCTGCTGGGATTTGTAGTTTTTCTGCAGCTGATTGAGCTGTTCTGGACACAGACTCCCATAATGCATTGCACTACTGTGTGTCCTGCTGGGGTGTTTTCTCTTCCTGCAAAGGTGTTACATCCAGAGTGTTTAGCTGTCAGCAGAGTCTGATTCTGAACCTTCAAAATAAAAGCTTTCAGACCTCAGTCGATGCGAAGATGCAGATTCTAAACAGAATTATATGTTTTCTAAATATTTAATTGAAAATCTGTCCAGGCCACCTTGACCTTATATAAAATGTAATTATCTCCCAAACCCAATCACAGGTTCTTCCTCCTGAAAGTTTTTCGTCACTGTGGAGAGACTTTGTTCCGCTCTGCTTTGCAGAAAATCTCCAGTTGGACACGTTTCATGGTTTGTTCTCTAGCATGAACCTATCTGAGGTCATGCTACGATAGATCAATCAAAAGCATCTCTGACCTTTAACCTTCAGGGATTTGATTGCATTTAGTTCCTGCTGTAAAGCCTAAAGCAGGTTGAGCGCGAGCCTAAAGTCTTTACATGACAGTCAAACATCACGGCTGGTTTTACACCAGATCTACCTGGATGCTCACCTTCCAGAAAGTTCTCATGGTCCAGAGAAATTTTTGGCGATCATGGAAGCGGTTGTGACCTTAGTACCTTCTGATGGACGCCATGTTTTCCCAGGATCTCTCTTTTCTTGCTGTATCATGAACTCCGTCACCTCCTGGATGACCTGTCGGTGAGTTTTTAATGTATCTTTGGAAACCTTCTCCACTGTTCCATGTTCTCTGTTAGTGGATGATGGTTCTCACTTTGGTTCTCTTCAGTCCTGAAAACCTTCTGGCCTGAATGATGAAGTGCTGCATTGGAAGAACTCCTAGCCTCCGTCCTGATTTAATATTCATTTTCTTCTTCATTGATCTAATTAAGGGATCAACAACCTTTTCAAGATTAGAGCTGCTTAATTGTTCCTAGGAAGGGCTACTAATACTGACCTAGAAATGGAGGAGTCAGCGTTCACCTGAACGTCATGCATAATAATTAGAATTTTTATAAATACTTATAAATGCCGGGGGGGCATTCACCATCAGGCAATACTAGGCAGTTGCCTGGGGCCCCAAGTTCCTGTGGGCCCCATAAAACTTTGTATATCTCATGATCGGTTTCACAAATCTCCCCCACATGCAGAGAAACCACTTAGAGAACACGGGAAAAGGTTAACAGGTTTATAGAGGTAGCGTACAGGTGTTGGATCTGGTACTCAGTGAGCTGGTGAACCAGAAGTTTGAGGGGGGCCTTGTCAGTCCTTGAACCCAGTCTGTGTGGGGAAATCCAGAGAATGGTGCACACGTTGGAGGACGGACAGGTAGACAAGCGTTGGACCCAGAGGAGTAATGAAGAGGACTGTCACTCGGATTTCCGATTGGAACTTGAAGGGATCATGTGGAGGTTTTCCCCTCAGTATGAACATGGTATTTCCTTCCAGGGGGAGAAGGTCCAGGTATCCAGTAAAACAGGAAGTCTTCCTGCCGGGGAAAAAAAGACAAAAGAACATAAGTCTCAGAAAAATAACGCTAGGTTAGACTCAGCTAATCTCAGCTTGGCTAGAGTACCCAAAACTGACAAACACTCTGGCCCCGAGGTAGTGACAGCCAACTGCTCAAATACTCCTCCAGATAATGATCCAACGAGTGTGCAGGGAGGCCAACGAGTACAGGGCACCACCTGGTGGTGGAGGGAGAAAAACACACAAATAACCAGAAAAACATACCACACAACCAGACAGACAGCAGCGAACCATTTGAAAACAAACCATGCAAAGAGCAGTGTTGCTAACTTAGCGCTTTAGTCGCTATATTTAGCCACTTTTCAGACCCCTCTAGCACTTTGATTTCTAAAAAGCTCCTAGCGCCAAATCTAGAGACTTTTTTCTGCTACTGGAGACTTTGGAGACAACATCTAAAAGCAGCGAACTCTGCTCTCCAGAGCGAGTAGATTGGTAACCCCGCCTCCTGCTCTCCTCTATCTTGTCTGCTGTCAGGAGAGAGGGACAAAACCTAGAACAGATGATGGATGTCTATTCTATTAACATTTCTCTATCTGTAGAATGGGGCTGTTTGATGTGTTGGGCCCCCTGCTTGTCTTTGCCTAGGGCCCTAAATTTCCTAAATCCGACCCTGATTAGGAAAGAAGAGCAACAGAATAAAATAAGATTTCAGATTTTGTTTTCAGAAGATGAGGGCCCCCCAACGTGGTCCTTGAGGGCCCCTTGGTATCTGTGGGCACCGCGTTGGTGAACCTCTGGTCTAAGTTAAACTGACAGTTTCTCTTCATTATTAAATCCGTATTTAAACATCTGTATAAAAGCATACAATGCATCAAACTAAATAAAAAATCTGATTTTGGTTTATTCCGTAAATCTGTTTAATTTATTCCTATTTTTTTCTTTGAATTTAAAAAGAAAAAAATGTAAAATATGAAATGTTATAGATATAAAAAGGATTTAATTGAGCTTCCTCCTCCTCAGCTGCAGGATTATTATTTAAACTCTTATTTTTACTAACCGGATGTCTGCGCAGGCGTGCCTCTGAATGCGCGTCCCCGTCAGACTGAGACCAGCAGCTCCTCATCAGTCTGCGCTGGATCAGAACCTCCGCTCCGGATCCCGGAGCTGCAGGTCCGGTTCTCTGTCTGCAGCGGGACGATGCTTCCCTCCTGCTGCCGGGAAGCAGCTCTCTCCTCCGGCTTCCTCCGCCCCTTGGAGCCCCGGCTGCTCCTCTCCTCTGCGCGCTGAACTTGGAGCATCTGCGGGGATTAAACTGTTGTTTGTGTCCGGCTCTCCTGGTTCTGATCTCCTCCCTGAGGAAACCAGCCTCCTCCCTTATTGGGTGGAGAATTTTCCAGCCTGCAGGATTTTTTTTCTTCCTCCCTGTGGCTCCTGGAGGAGCAGAGCTTCTCCAGCTCCTGCTCTGTGATGGAGATGCTGTGAGGACGGAGCACCGCTGGGGGAGAGGATGGGAGGATAATCCTGCAGTGGGATTATATTTCCAGGCTCAGGCATGGAGGCTGAGCTTGGATGAGGGTCTGGAAACAGCAGGAACTTTCCAGGCGATCAGGGAGATTGATCCACATCTGCCTCCAGAATCCATCCTGGAAAAGAGGAAGGCTGATCCACAGGTGAAGAGCAGAATTACTCCCAATCAGAACCAGGAGTTCATGAAACCCAACGGAGAAAAGCTGCTGAAGTCCAGGAGGATGAGTCTGTAGACCCGGATCCAAGCAGAGCCAGAAATCATCCAGATCAGTTCTGGTTCTGAAATGATCCACTTCATCCTCCATTGTTCTGCTCTGGAATTTTCTTTAATTTAAATCAAAATAGAGTAAAAACATGATGGAGAATCAGAGGAAACGTGCTTCCTGAGCACAGAATGACCCGGTTCCTGCTGTGCTGACAGAACCAGAACCAGACCTTCATCATATTCAGAACCACCAGAAACAGGAGGAGGACGCCACGTCCCATCCCATGAGGGAGCATGACGGACCGGACCGCCCCGGGCTGCCGCCTCAGACTGGACTGGGTCTACGGGTACCGGGGCCACCAGTGCCGGAACAACCTGTTCTACACAGCAGGGAAGGAGGTGGTGTACTTTGTGGCTGGGGTGGGGGTGGTCTACAACACCAGGGAGCACAGCCAGAGGTTCTACCTGGGCCACAACGATGACATCATCAGGTAAGACCCCTGAAAAAACGCAGACGCACCC